CTGCCGCCGCACGCTCGGCTCTCCCCGGGAGCAGGCGCTCGGAGGCCCCGCCGGGGACCGCCTGGCCCTTAGTGCCGTCGGGAGGACCGCCCCCGCGAGGCGCTGCGCTCCCCTCGCTTCACGCAGTATTGGGACTTGAAAGAAAAGCCCAACTCTGAACCACGAACACTTCTAAAATAACTCACGTCAAAGCGGGGAGGAACAAACCGCACGCACCGGCCTGGACGCCCTTGTCACGGTGCGTTCCCTGGGTCTCCCGGGGCGGCTCAAAACCGGAACGCCGCGCAGCGCCGCTCCGAGGGACACGGCCGGCAGCGGCGGGGACGGGCTGTGGGCGGCACGAGGGGCAGCGGCGCGTCCTCATGCGAACGGGAAGAAGAAGCCGGCGGGCAGCCTGGCGTGGACGGTGGGCCGTGCACGGAAGCCGGCCGCCGCAGGGGCAGACACGTCCGCGAACGTCACCACGGTGGAGACCACGATGGCCCCTTCACGTCCCGAGTGGGCCTGCGGTAGAAAGTCAGGGTTGCACACCGCCCTCCCGTGTGCGAGCGGGGACGCGGGGACGTCGCCTCCCTTCGCTGGGCCACGAACCTGACGCGTGCGGGGGCGGAGGGCCTGCCCCAAGGCGTCCTGACCCCCGCCAGCCTCGGCCCCAACAGCGCTCCGAGACTCTCAGAGGTCGGGTCTAAGCAAGAATGCTGATGCCAATAAAGCTTTTGCCAGTGGGGTCTTTTCCTTCTAAGTACAAGAATGACTGCAAAATTGTTTTAAGATTCCAGAGTGTTTATCTTTTTTTATCAGGTAATAAATTTCACCTGTCACCTGAGTTTTGTTTGGACTTCTTTGTCTTTCTGTTTGTTTGTTTGATTTTTTGAGACACAGTCTTGGTATGTAGCTCAGGCTGGCCAGGAACTTGGAGTGACCCTCCTGCCTCAGCCTCCAGAGTACTGGGATTACAGGCGTGCACCACCACGCCTGGCTAGACTTCTTTGTCTTAACCTACAGTTTTTGGGTTTTTGTTTTTGGTACTGGGGCTGGAACCCAGGGCCTTGCTCTTTCACTGAGCTCCAACCCCAATCCACGCCTTTTGATTTTTATTTCTGGGGGACCAGGGATTGAACCAGGACCTCGAATGTGCTACGTAGCCTATACCTTTAAGCTCCAGCCAAGCCTACCTGGGGAAAGGCGGAGGAGATGAGATTCGCCGTGACGTTTACTATCCTGGCTTGGGGGTTCAGCAAGGATCCGTACTTGGTCCACTTCACTTCTATGACCAGAGCCACGGGGAGCTGACAAGAACCCTGCAAAGCACATGCCAGTCATCAACCTGAATGTTACACAACCTCAAGCCAAACTTAATCTGCAGTTCAGAGTTTTAATTATAAAATGTTCCACATATTACAAAATGTTCCGAACAAGAGAATGAATAAACTCCAGAAGTTCAGATCGAATCAGCTTTGACAAAGCACGTATCATTAAAGCACTCAGTGCTCCAAAAATACTGCACCACCTAGTGTGACTTTTCCGTCCCCTCCGACTCCCAGAGGGCAGTGTCACCGGCGAGTGGGGACCTTAAGGGCTCCAGTGGCATCTACCTGTCTACACCTACCTCAGGAGAGGGACCAGGTGTGTGTGTCATTAAGGTGTGTGTGACTGCACGTTTCACTAAAATGCTTGCAGAGGAGATCTAAGCATTCTTTCCATCTGTCTGATTTCATCCACTGGCACCCGAGATGTGACATCTGGGCATCGGGTAGTGCCTGTATGCTTAGCGCTGAGGGCCCAGGCTGGACGAGTCCCCAGGACCTCTGCCTGGTCGGCCCTATGGGGAGGGGCCTTTCCGGACCCTGTCCTGCCTCAGCCTTCAGCTGGCAGATGTGGTGACTCGGAGCTGCATGCTGGCTCAGCGGGGATCCCGCGGTAGGAGGGCACTTTTCTGTAGGTTTGAAATTCTCCCATAATAAAAGCTTTCTTCTAAGTACTGCTCTCAGGGCATGAAAAGCTAGCAGGCCTGCTAGTACCTGGTGCCTGCCAAAAGGTGCAAGTGGGTTACTTGGCTTGGAACAGCCTTTTAAAAACTGTACAGGTCGCACGGTTGCCAACACCCGAGTATCAGGAGAAGCTGCCATGCAGCCGTGGTGCAGCGTGGCCGTGCTCCGTGCCGCCTGCGGCTGGGTTTCATGCAAAGCCGGCCCCAGGCTGCTGAGCTCCCTAGGCCAGCACAGCCCCCAGCAGAGCCTCGAGCAGTGCTGCCTCTGCCCCCAGCCTGTCCTCCTCCAGAGAAGCAGTCGTCACTGGTGGCTTCACCCAGTGCCAAGAAGCCAGGATGGAGTCGCTGGGTTCCCTGGGGGCAGAACCGAGCCAAGCCTGAGGCCGGGCAGCGGGGACGAGACCTGGTCTGAGGTCTTCACTGGGAACTCTGCAGGGAGGGTGGATGGCTTCTGAGCGTCCTCATCTGACCAAGCCCCGCTACAAACACACCCTGAGCATGGTGATGAGAAAGCCGGGCAATGAGGCACGGGACGGAAAGCGCGTCTGCGGTGACAGGACGGCCCACGCTTTGCCAAGACAAAAGAACGGGTGGGCGAGGAGGCACACACATGTGAGCGGGCCCCTATTGTAGAATGTCGACTCCATTAAACTCACTGGGGAACTCTGGCAGTAAAAGCGCTTGTGTGTGGGCTGCCCAGGTAGAGCAGCGGGTGTGGGCGGGCAGTGGTGCAGACAGGGAGGCTTCCAGCTCATCTCCGGGGTGGGCCTGTGCCGTCCCCAGCGGGCTTGTGCGGCCCTGGTGACAAAAAGCAGGTTGAGCACCCCTTCTCTGAAACGCTGGGGACCAGGAGTAGCTGGGATTTCTCTGACCTGGGGATATCTGCATACGCACAACGAGTGAGATAGGCTGGGGATGGGGCCCAAGTCTGCCAAGAGTGTACCGCATGCACACCTCATCCACAGCTGAAAGCTGACTTTATGCAGTATTTTTATTGCTTGTATCTTGACCGCCACTGTCACTAAGGCGGTGTGGAGCTTTCCACTCGTGGGACTCAAAAAGTTCCAGATTCTAAGCATTTCCGAGTTTAGGAATGAGGGATGCCCAACCTGTAGGAACAGGATGGCAATCGGCAGCAGTTCCTGGTTACGGAGTGACCACCCAGTGCCGCCCTGCCCGCGGCACGGCCATGCACCCCGCGGCATTACCTCCGTGAACCCACGCAACAAGCCCCTAACGTCAGAGCGGGCATGCCCACTTCACAGACGGGAAACAGGCTCAAACCCAGAAAGCTGCTCAAACCCGAAAGTGTGCATGGTATCGCTTGCTGTATTCCCAGCTCCGCAGGAGGCAGAGGCGATCTGCTAAGGGTGGGCAAGATCAATATTCTGGGCTCAGGCCAACCTGACAGGCAGCACAGCCTGAGCTCCACCCGGAGCCCCCCACCTCCTTCACAGGCGTCCCTGGCTGCGTCTGTCACCCAGCCCAGAAGGAGAAGAGGCCACTAGCACCTGGCCCTCAGCTTCTCTCCCTTTACCTTGGTGGGGGGCGAGTGGGTGATGAAGTGGACAGGCACCCAGTCCAGCACATCCTGGGCCCTGGAGTTGCCGAACGGGGCCACGAAGTCCGGGAAGCCCTGGCCCTTCAGCAGGTCCTTCACCTTCTGCGCCACGAGCCGGCAGGGGATGGCCGGGCTCAGCCTTTGGGGAGGAAAAGGGCCGAGTAACTGTGTCAGCAATTTTTTTTTTTTTACTTTTACTTTTGTGTGTGTGGTAGTGGGGACTGAACTCAGAGTGCTGGGCTACGATCAGCAACCATTTATTTTTTGATTTTTGAGACAAGGCCTCCAGAAGTTGCCCAGGCTGGCCTTGAACTTCTGATCCTCCTGCCTCAGCCTCCTGAGAAGCTGGGAATACAGGCAGGTGCTCCCGTGCCCAGCCCACCCGTGGTCTTTACAAGCCTCCACGAAACACATGCCTCTCCGGTGCCACTGTTCTCCCTCTCCAGAAGGGGGGTCATTTGATAGAAGCTAAAGCGTCTCTTAACATTGCTGAATCCTGATCACAGAGGGAACCCAAAACACGGTTTCCCAAACTGTGTTCCACGGAAGCTCTTTCTATACAAGGCAGAACCACGGCCAAAAGTTGGGAAGAGAATGCCTTCCACGTCCCCTACCCCTCCTGAAGCACAACGGCATTCTAAAGGCACCGTGACATCCTGAAGGAAGGGATCCTGGTTTCAGGTGTGATTTGGTGTTTCCCCAACACACCGCAGCTCGGCCCTGTGCATGTGGGCATCTTGTGGGTTGGGGTCCATGCAGCCCCCCTCAGAAACACTGTCTAAGGAGATCAGAGGTAACACTACAAATGGGGAACAATGGCCTAACAAAACAATGACAGAATCACTCCGGGGAGAGGTGAAGGACGTGGGTGCTGGAGTGAGGAGGATGAAGGAGAGCCGAGCCTCCCTCTTCCAGAGTGGGAAACAATCAACACTCACAAAGCCAGCCGGGTGTGGTGGCGCACAGCTGTAATCCCAGCACCCTACGAGGCTGAGGCAGGGGGATGGCACATTCAGGCTCATCCTGCGTAACTCAGTGATTTAGAAGGACTGTGTCAACAAGTAAATGACTGAATGATAGAAAGGAAGGAAAAGAAAAGAAAAACAAAAAAAGAAAAAAGAAAGCCAGCCAGCCTGGGGATGCATCTCAGTGTGAAGGCCCTGGATTCAAACACCAGTACCAAAAAAAAAAAAAAAAAAAAAAATCAAGAAATACCATTATGTGCAGGTTATTTGAAGATCCAAGGGAGATTTCCAAAGACAGCTACAGAGGTTGTGGCTGCCTCTAGGACGAGGCACATGAGAGCGAGCCGCGGGCTGTGTGACAAGCTGCGCAGGGCTCCTTCACGTCTCTTGACTGCGTACATACTTAATTTAAAAGGATACAAACAGCACATTCCGGCCTCCTTTCACTTCAGTTTGTGCTATGCATATTAAAGCTCAGAAATACAGGAAGGACTTTGTTACAGTTGATACATTGTGTCAACTTGGGGAGTCTAGAGGTTTGGCTAAGTGACTCAGCAGGAAGCCAGGGTGCTTACTTTGTATACATCCTGAGCCTGTGGAAGAGGAGGGCATGGAGATTATGTGAGAGCTACACGCCCCTTAGGTGGGGGTAGCCTGTTTACAAAGTAAGGCAGGGAAGGAAGCTGCTTGCCGCCATTCCTCCGGTTTGCTCTGGCTGTTTGCTGTTCGGCTGCCATTCCCCCCTTTGCTCTTGTTGCTTTGCTACCTTCTGCCTCGGAGCCAGCGAAGTATGGACTGAAACCTCCACAAACTGTCAGCTAAATAAACCTTTCCTTCCTTCATTTTGGGCGTTGGGTATTTTGTCTCAGCAACGAGAGAAAAGTAACCAAGACAGACTTTCAGGGGAACTATTTTGCTCTAAACTCAAGGGCTGCGCAAGCTTCAACTTAAAGCCTACAAAGCTTTGCCATTTTCTGGTGCCATGTTGGGGAGAAAATGGCTGTGACTTCTCTACTGGGCATGAGCAGCGCCAGCCGCCACGCGGCGTTCACAGGCGCCCGGCTGCTGAGGCAGAGGTTTGGTTCAGGCGGGGCCGGCGGGACCCTCTGCTCTCCGATGGACACAAGCCCCACAGCGCAGTGCCCGCTCACCTGAGCTGGCAGCCAGTCTGCATGTTGTAGCCGAACAGCACTGGGGCCCGCAGCCCTTCCGCCGCCAGGCAGTCTTGCTCCCTCGTGCTGCGGAGAACGGTGAGCTGTCCGTATCTGTTCATGGTCTGAATAATCGCAGACATTCACTGAGAGTTAAGGGACCACTGCCCAGTGCCAGAGCATCCTGACTTTCAGGTAGGAATTTGGTGTCACGCGGTGTCACTTGTGGGACCTGAGACACGAGTGAGACCCACACCCACCTTCTCTAGGCCTCTAGGATGTTGACAGTTATTCCCCTGGGTGGCGGGGGGGTGGGAACCACCACCAACAAAAGGCTTCACTGTAACGATGTGCCTCAATGAGCACACCCTCTGGAGAGGGTCCTCAGAAACTGGCCCTGCAAAATTAATTCCAAATTTTCAAAATCACCAAGTTTGTTTAGGAGGCTCTGTTTAGAATACAGCCAAATGTCGACTCTTCTATCTTCAGATGTGTTTGGTTTTTTTTGTTTGTTTGTTTGTTTTCCGGTACCGGGAATCAAACTCACGACCTTGCACTTGCCAGGCAGGCGCTGTGCCGCTGAGCTAAATCCCCAGCCCCTTCAGATGTGTTTTAAATGTGCCCATGCCAGGCACTGTCCCCCAAGCACCAGTATCCACTACCGCCACCCCAGATCACGCGGAGGAAGCTGCGGCCAGCTCTGTCCCACTCCAGCCCTCACCAGGCACAGAAGCGCCCTCCACACAGAAAGGATATCCCTTTGGAGGCCGCAGCCCGGCGACCAGCGGGAGCCCCACCACGTAGCCAGGGTTGCCGCTGAGAGCAATGGGCCTTGCGTTTTGCTGAAAAACAATGCAGAAGTGCCCCACTCCATGATGCTCATTTTAATAAGGAAACAGCAGGGAGAAAATGCAGTGCTTTTCATAATAAAATCTGGAATTACCAATCTATAAAAGCACCTCTCCCCCTACTCAGCACTATAAATATATCTGGCGAGTGTAGGAGTACATCATGCTGTAAAAGCACAGGCAAGCACAGCAGGGGAACCTCGTTCCAAAGGGAGGAGGGCGCGGGCCGGGCTCGGTTGCGTTACAAGCGCCATGCCGCGCGCAAGCCCTGTGCTCAGTACAAAGGGTTAGATGTGGTAATACGGCTAAACTGATTGTGCCTCACTAAGAAGTTATGACTTCTGTTTAACTTGGCAATTAAGACTTGGACAAAAGTGCTGCAACGTACCTGAATAAAGCTAATTTCAAACTTCTGCTGCAGGGGGACCGTGGCACGGCTAACGGTTCCCAGCAGCAGTGAGAGGCCCGCGCCGGTGATCTCACCCGCGTCTGTATACGTGAGGCTGTATTTCACCTGGAACAAAATGAAGCTCCAAATGCACAGGCTCCCCTGACATTCCAGCAGCTGGACTCACAGCAAATGAAAACAGCCAGAAGCACCAAGCCCTTGCCCGGCTCTGGCGGGTTTTCTCTGGTGTCGGAGCAGAGCTGAGCAGTGTTCCCCCAGCATTACCCAGTGGACGGGCTCCTCTCGGGGCCTAGCCTGTGCGAGTCGGCTGGTCCAAACAAAGTGATCAGCCTGCTCTGCAAAGGAAACGCGTCCCAACAAATACAAGGACGGCAACGACAGGACTGGGATGCCTTCCTGCAAGTCGCTAGGTGTGTGCGACAAGTAAAGAAGCATCCTCTGAGGAGGCGGCACAGAGCAAGCAGGCAGCCAGGCCAGGGGCAGCGCCACCGCAGGGGGGCCAGCGCCCCCTCTGGAGGGCATCCTTCCTGCTATCCCCAAAGACAGGCGGCTGGAGTCCGCCACAGACAGATGGAGCTTAAAAGGCCACACTGGGCACCTACTTCAAGCACGACGTTGATGCAGATCCTGTCAGGCCCAGAACTGACAAGAGACGGCAGCCGTACACCCGTGTCCTCCAGGCGGGTCAGTGTTTTATTTAGAGACTGAACGGTGATGGACCGGACAGTGATTGGGACCTGCGAAGTGAAGACCCGGATGATTAGAGACTCCACACTATGACAGAGGCGACAGGGAACAAGCTTGAAACAACCCCACCTGATGCGCAGTGCCGGAAGAGAGCAAAACACACGCAGCGATTCCACAAGTGCAAAACACAAGCGCCGCCGAGCCGCTGGAGCTCGGCTCACATGCAGAGGCCCCGGCCCCAGCCCCAGCCCCAAGACACCCACAAAAACCGCACATAGTTACATATGAATTATAAGCCCTCTTACTTTCCATTAAGAAATACTCTTACCTGTGTCACGGAATTGGGCACCTGGACAAAAAGAAACCATGACAGATTCTGTTAAGTATACCAAAAAGAAGCATTTCCACAGCTCTTCCAGACCTCTGTCACAGGCCGTGCTCGGTCTCAAAGATCTCAGAGAGAGCACCGCAGCTGCCTTACTCAAGGTGTGCCATCTACGCCCCCGCAGGCTCCTGCTCCTTTCATTTCCTCCTGGTTGGAAGCACAAGAGGCCAGCGCAGCCAGCGGGGGTCATGAAGCTCCACACCCTGGAGTCCTTACTGCGCACTCCAAGGGCCCAGCACTGCCACAGGGGAAGCGTGGGAAGGGGTGACGCAGCCCCGCCCTCCTACTCACTCCAGCCACCTCGCCAGGAGCTTCCCGCAGCCTCTCCCTGTCATCCTGCAGGGCAAGACCCCAGTGCCAAGCTTTCTGGGTTTTTGTTTTTGTACCAGGAATTGAACTCAGGACTTTGAGATTGCCAGGCTGGCGCTTGTGCCACTGAGCTATATCCCCAACCAATGCCAACCTTTGTCTCCCCAAACACCCAGGTTCTCCTGAAGGGAGAGCTCCCTCCGCTTCCTGTCATCTCCCTCCACTTCCTGTCCCGCATCTCCCTCCACTTCCTGTCCCGCATCTCTCACTACTTCCTGTCCGCATCTCCCTCCACTTCCTGTCCTGCATCTCCCTCCACTTCCTGTCCTGCATCTCCCTCCGCTTCCTGTCCTGCATCTCCCTCCACTTCCTGTCCTGCATCTCCCTCCGCTTCCTTTCCTGCATCTCCCTGTCCTGCATCTCTAGCAACCTCACCTCCAGACACTCTTGGGCCACTGTGAGCTTTGAGAGGGGCTGAACAGACTGTATCTGGGGAGCTCCGTGCTGAGAATTTACCTGGATGCCCGAGACATTATGAGAAGCCAAAGTAACTGGAAAAACCCATAGGGCCGGGGTGGGGTGGGACTTACAAGCTGAGAGGGGGAGGGCAGGGGGAGAAAAAGCTCAAACTGGATTCTGAACACAGAAGCCCAGATGAACATGGGGCCATGGGCTGCGTACCCCTACACACCACACACACACACCAAAAAGGAAATCAGAGTCAGGTGCAGTGGCACATGCCTAAAATCACAGCTGCTCAAATTTGAGAACAGCCTAGGCAATTCAGCAAGATCCTGTTCCAGAAAGACTTGGGATCTGGCTGAGTGGCGCATCGCTTGCCCAGCATGTGGGAGGCCCTAGGGTTCATCTGACCCCCAGGACCACACACACATACACCTAAAGAAATGGGGGGAGGGAGGACTTGGGCAACAACCTTGTCTTGTTTTCCTTTTGGGTTTTGAAGCAGGGTCTCGCTCTGTAGCCCAGGCTGGCCTCGAACTTGCTCCCATCCTCCTGCCTCAGCCTCCCAAGTGCTGGGATTACAGGTGTGCGCCACCACACCCGGCAAGATATTTTATTTTTCTAAGGTTTTTAGGTTCCAGGTAAAAACTGTTTTATTCAGGAGACAGACATTATTGGTTACCATCAAAATGAACGAAAGAAAAAATAAAGCAAAATATGAGCTAACTATATAAAAATAACATTATTTAAAAGATTATTTCAATAATCATTGATACTAAAGTCCTTGAGAAATTTCAATCACAAACTGAAATTATTGTCATATAAGGCACAAAGAGCTGGACGTGGTGGTGCACACCTATAATCCCAGCACCCAGGAGGCTGAGGCAGGAGGATCGCCACCAGTTTGAGCCCAGCCTCGGTTACATACTGGGTTTAAGGCCAGTCTAAACTGCATAGCAAGACCCTGCTTCGAAAAAAACAAAATAAAATAAAATGGCACAAAGAACTGAAAACATACCGAATGAATCAGTTTTAGTTCAAAATAATTCTTACCCTCAGAATCGTAGGGCTGCTGTAATAATTCATCCTAAGGGCCTCCATTTCTTCACACTGTTCTAAATTTATGCTTCTGGTACACTTCACAGCCTGGTTCACCAGAAATGCTGTAATCATAACATTTCCGAGGGGGGAAAATACAAACAAATGTTTCAGAGTCCAGTGGTAACTGTCACGAAGGTAAAACTGCAAAGTAAGCTGTAACATGGAGGTGCAATATGTTTAAAGTAGGGATTCAAAATTAGTTTTCAGCCAGGTACAAAGGTCACAGCTCAAAAGGCACAGGAAGATGCAGAGCACAGCCCAGGGGTGTCCCTGCGACTCCAGGCCTCGCCTTCCCCACAGGCACCAGCAGGAAGTTTCCGAGCCTCCTTCTGGAAATAGACTATGCAAATAGAGGAGAACTTGTACACACATTTCTAAATTACTTTTTCCACTCTTGGAAACAAACGCGTGCTAGGTACACTGACCCGCCCCTTGTTTTTCCACCGGCAATGAGCACATCTTGACGCTCAGTCCTCTCCGCACGCGAAGAGCTCCCCTCCTCCTCTTCTCCGGTTTGTGCTCTGTGGAGACGCGGCACTACCGTCCCCGTCCACTCCTAACGGACACCTGAGGCTCCTCCGCCTCTGCCGTCACAAGCAGTGCTCCATCTACCACCCTGCGCGAGGGGCCCGCATTTCGGCGGGATCAACTCCTTGGGGTCTAACAGCTGGATGGAAGGACGCGATTGTTTGCAGTTTTGACAGGCAGCACAGGCAAAACGCCCCTCACGGGGGTGCCACTGGCTCACAGTCCCCCCAGCTATGGAGACGAGTGGCTGCTTGCCCAGCTCCAGGTTTTTTGAGCATTATCAATCCAACAGGTGAAAGCAGTATCTCGGTTTGGTTTTATCTTGCCCTGTTCCCAGCACGGGTAAGGTCAAGATTCCAACCCCACCTCCAAGGCTCACTGTGAGGACTGCCTGGAAAATCACAGGCATCGCCTACCACAATGAGCAGCACATAGTATGTGCACAATAAAAAAGAAAACGTGCAGCAGCCGAGAGGGCTGTTTCCAGGTAGTGAGCTGCTTGTCACTACTAGCGCTCACACAGTGAATGTCTGCGGCCGGAAGAGTCCTGCACTGACTGGAGTACTGAACTCCAAAACCTCTGTGGCCTCTTCCAACCCCAAGATTCTGTTTGTGTTTGTGAACCTGATCAATCACGGCTGCTAGAGATGTAAACGAGTTGCAAAGTCACGCTCTTACCGGCAGGGTTGTTATCAGCGCACAGGGCCGACGTGAGAGGCGAAGGGAATCTCAGAAACGGGTGTGGAGACGCGTCCGAAGCCTGCAGAGGAGCCCCGTACTGCAAACACAGCAGGCAGCCGCAGTGAGCACTCCCCCAGCGCTCCAGGGCACCAACCGCGGGCCAGGCGGCACTGCTGCTGTCAAGGTCACACTGGCGCGCAACAGCCAGACATGGCCTTGCCCGTGGGGAGCCGGTATGCGGCGTGCCAGCTTTCAGCAAGTGCTTGCACGCACGCGTGGCTGGCCGTGGAGCTGGCAGGGCCCACGGGACACTAAGTGTGTGCCTCGGCGGGCAGAGGCGGCGGGGCGGGCACAGGGCTCGGACAGCTGTTTCAGGAGCATGAATTCAACAGCAGCTACGGTATGCATTAAAATTATACAACTTTTATGAATCAGTAGTTTCTGAATGAATTTTATGAAAAATGCCTTCTTTCCCCAAACCAAAACCCCCATGAAATTCTTCTGTGATATTCAAACCCCAAATGTACGGCTATTGGCCATACAGATAATTTCTGTGAATTTAAAAGTTTACCCAAATGCCCTGGAACTAGTAAGGCTGTGGGAAGAAGAGTCTCCTCATTGACGGGGCTGGGAGTACAGACCCCCGCCATCTTTCTGAGCGGCAGTGTGCTTACTGGGGTTTTAAAAGTCCCACCCACTGTGACCAAGCCACACCATCTCTAGAAACACACCCTAAGGATTTGATCAGACAGCTGCGTGAAGATACGTATCCACATAGGAACGCCCGTTATTTCTCTCAGCAAAAACTAGAAACAAGTGTCTGTTAGGACTAGGATACCTTGAGCTGGGAACGGTGGCCTAGCACTTGCTTAGCATGCACAACGCCCTGGGTTCAATCGCCAGGTCTGGAGGAAGGGAATGGCTCAAATACACTGTGAGGAATTCTTTGTAAGTGCTGCTTTAGCACTAGGTCTGAAAAGTCACTTTCCGACACCTGTGTTTTTCTCCTCAGGTAGATGGGTTGTATGAGTAAGCCCGGAAAAGCTTTGCCTGTGCTTGGTACATGGAAAATGCTCAGGAAACAGGTTTTGCATCGACAGGGAAGAGGCACAAGCTTATTATTGAGAGAAGAATTTTCTAGAACAATGTGGGTAACTATAAATCCAACTGCTGTATATTATATGTCTATTTCATAGATGCACTTAAAAATCAGGAAGATTACACACCAGTATTCCACACACAGTAATCTTCAGTATTTTTTTAAATTTTTTTTATTTAGAAATTATTTTGTGCATGGGTTGTAAACCCAGGGCCTCACGCGAGCTAAGCACAAGCTGGTGCTGGTCACTGAGCCTCACCCCAGCCCCTGCAGGGTGAATCTTATTGGAGACCAGGGACCTTTTGATTTTTACTCAGGGACCTCTAAACATCTGCTTTAAGAAACAGTGTACAAGCCGGGCATGACGGCGCACACGTGTAATCCCAGCACTTGGGAGGCTGAGGCAGGAAGATCGTTGCGAGTTCGAGACCAGCCTAGGCTACAAAGTGAGCTCAAGGCCAGCCTGAACTGCAGAGAGAGACCCTGTCTCAAAAAGACAAAAAAGATCGCATCACTTGGGGGCTGAAGCAGGAGGACTGCCGTGAGTGCAAGGCCAGCGTAGGCTACATAGTAAGAGTCTGTCTCACAAAAAAAAAAGAAAAGAAAAGAATGAGTGTACAGTGCTTCCACACTTCCCTTTCTAAAAAATACTTTTCTGAGTGTGCAGTGCTTCTGTACTTCCCTTTTTAAAACATACTTATTTTTTTTCAAGACAGGGTCTCACTATGCAGTTCAGGCTGCCTTGAACTCACTATGTAGCCCACGCTGGCCTTGAATTCCTGGCAATCCTTTTGAACACTTTTGAAAACAAAGTTTATTCATTGTTACATGTCACATTTCAATGGTTTACTAAGGGACAGACAGAAAATAGTGCACATCTTCCTAAAGTCTATGGAACTGAATACAATTCTGAGAAGCATCCAGCCAATCCATTGAATGTTCCTCCCAGCAGGCCTCAAGCATTTTGTTGCATCTCTTAAGGGTGAGAACAAAGAATTCTGTAGAGGCAAAATGTAAGCTTACCACAAAATAAGTCCTATGTAATTTTCAAAACTTACAAACATGAACATTAAGGCCAGGCATGATGGTGCACGCCTGTAATGCCAGCACTTCAGAGGCTGAGGCAGGAGGATTGCCAAGAGTTCAAGACCAGCCTGAACTACACAGCCAGACCTTGCCTCAAAAAGCAAAACAAAACAAAAAAAGAAATATGAACATTAAGGTTTTTAGTCTATGATATCAATTCAATGTCTTGGAGAAGTCAGCTTTGCCGGTACCATACTGAAAGGTAACTCCCAAGGACAGGGTACCGTGACGCCATGAACAGACTTAAATTCTTGGCTCACCTCATATTTAGAAGCATTTGAAGCACTTGATTTCACTGTAAAAGAAACATCTGCTTCTGCATTCGGTGTAAAACCCTCAGATGTTTTCATCCACCTATCGAAACTCCTCTCATCAGGCACTTCTGGATTAATAAAGGATAATGCAGGTTTATCTGTGTTTAGAAAAAATATTTTAAATCAGCATAAAACATGTACTACACATGACATCTGTAATATTTTTGAAACAGATATTAGTATTAAGGCTGATATGAAAAAATAGTCTCTGCAGGTCCACTTCACCAACTTCTTGAGGCTTGTTACATAAACAAGCTCATGGGCAGGGCCTGCTTCTCACAGTGGGAGAGGAATAGTTTCCCTGCCTGGAGGCAAACAGAATAGAAGCCACAGGGAATCCATCAGTTCCCCAACCCAGGGAGGGCAGAGGAGAACATGCTGTGTACAGAGGGCGGAGGAGGCCGCGTGCTCACTGGCAGGGGGACAGCAGAGAACGTGACAGTCCCGGGTCAGCTGTCACTTCAGGTATCAAAGCCCAGCACACTCGCCTCAGTTGTCAATCACAAGAACACAAAATCAAAATATATAAAGACGCTCCAAAGAGGAGATGGAGTTGAACAGGGAAAACTGTTCGTAACTGCAGCCCTGATGTTTTATATCCTGACAACATTTTACCTTCACACATTATATCCTGACAACATTTTACCTTCACACACTTTGGATCAAGGCACTGACTTGAGCTAATGCTCAGATAAAAATAAAGATCCGGTTTTCATGCAAAATTCTTAGTAAAAATAAAAAAGAAAAGGGAAATAGAAACCACAGGTAATGTTCAAAACTGAACCTGATTTTTAACCATTACGCCAGAGGAAATAAAGTAAAAAACACAGATAGATAAAAATCTGGACTTCTGTGTATGTCTACATAGCATAAGCACCTTTAAAACCAAGTATAAGAACTCAAAGGCAACTACATAGCACGATTACTTTTAAAAAGCCGAGCGTGGTGGCGCACACCTGTAATCCCAGCACTCAGGAGGCTGAGGCAGGAGGATCGTTGCAAGTTTGAGGCCAGCCTGGGCTACAAAGTGAGTTCAGGGCCAACCTGAACTTCATAGTGAGACCCTGTCTCAAAAAGAAATTTTAAAAACCCCCCAAAACAGAAAACTAATTACATTTAAAGAAACTGTACACGCCACAGATCTGTAAAATTATTTTCAGTTACCTGTAAAATAGCTCCAGAAGAGACACACTACACATGTATAGCCAAAACACAGGCGAGGTTTGTTGTTGTTGTTTTTTTTTAATTTCACTGAATACGGCATTTTCCCGTAAATTTTAAAGAAAAATTTTCCAACATCAACATCAAATACTTACAGTTTGTAGTATGAATGCAGAAAATAGATGGATTGATCTGGTCAACAAGTTTAAATACCCTCTTAGGTGGGTCTGCTGTAAAATTCAACGAATAGATGGCTGCTTTTTGACTGCAGAAGTGGCTATCACCCCTGGAAATTAAAAATAGTAACAGAAAGTTTGAAGGCATAACCACACAGTTTTAGCAAGATTATTTAAAAATTGTCAGATGCTTATACTACACGGAAGATACTTCTGAAAGCAGGGTGTAGAAGTAGAGTCCACTGTCACTCAGTTTATTCAGTGTTAAAATGTTGGGCATTTGAAAGGTTTTCCATTAGAGGAAGAAAGTTAAGACAGGTATATTAACCTCTAAGAACATCTTCCAAGTATGGAATATGGATCAGGGTATAACTTTGATATAAATGAACCTTGTAAACTCTGAAAGCATCAGTTATATAAAATTTTATAGAAATTTAGATTGTTCATAAGTACCCAGAACAGATCCAAAATTTCTTGTTTTTAAGATAAAGCTGTCTTTAAAAGACTGTGAAAATGTGAAACCATCTGTAAGATTTATAGCTTAGAAATTATGGTAGTTAAGTCTTCTCTGAATCCCAGATCAACAAATCCCAATCAATTTGAGACATACATAGGTAGGGTATGAAGGTAAACTTGTAACAAAAATGGTATTATAGTCTACATATTACTTTAAAGCCTTAATTAATATATAATGCCTAGCATTTCCCATGTTATCAAATATGTTTTTGCAACACTATATTTAAATGGTTTCATCACTGTGGTGGTGTACATATCTGTAATCCCAACACTCTGGTAGGCTGAGGCAGGAGGATCACAAATACAAGCCCAGCCCCATTTAATAAAACCTTGTCGCAAAATCAAAAAATAAAAAAAGGGCTAATGATATAGCTCAGTGTGACAGCTATGCGTCCAATTCCCACTACCTATCCATCAACCAACCAGTCAATCAATAAGGTTTCATCATATACCAGATCCTCAATACACCCCAATTTGGCTTACCAATCCTCTACGGCTGGTGTAAGTTGTTTCGAATTTTTTTATTGTTGTTGTCTTTTTGAGACAGGGTCTCACTATGCAGCTCAGGCTGGACTTGAGCTCTCTTTGTAGCCCAGGCTGGCCTCGAACTCACACGGATCCTCCTGCCTCAGCCTCCCGAGTGCTGGGATTACAGGCGTGCGCCACCACGCTGGGCTAAATAGACTTTTTTTTATTTTTGATACTGGGAATCGAACTCAGGACCTTGTGCTTGCCAGACAGGTGCTTGTGCTGCCAAGCTATATCCCCAGCTCCTAGGAGACATTTATAAAGATGTATGTACAAGGATGTCATCATAGCTTTGTGTATAATTGGGGAAAATTAGAAATAACTTCTCACTGGGCATGGTGGTGCAAGCCTATAATCTTAGCACGCGGGAGGCTCAATACAAAGAGAGCTCAATAAATAAATAAATAAATGAATGTCTCCTAGGACATGTTCTCAGAAGTGGAATTGCTAAGTCAAACAGTACATTATTTAAGGCTTCTGTAACATGGCCAAACTGCCCTCCACAAAGCGTTAATGTCTGAACTCACTAATACTGTAGTAGGAGTGCCTATTTCCTTGTCCTCAACCCAAGACTAGATATTGTCATTAGGTTTTTACTGGTTGGGCTGGAGTGGAGGGACTGAGATGGGAGCTAGTAGGAAGCAGGATCTGAATCTGAGCTAAAGGATCTATACATAATGAGACTTTTTTTTTTTT